AAAATTCTATTCGCTTATCTTATAATATAAATTTAATTTTTTAATATAAAAATTTAAAATTTTAATTACTAAATCTTGATGTAAGCAACTGAGCTCACAAGTTCGGACTAAATCTCTATTAAAATCAAACTCGGTTCAAGCATGATTCATTTGCAATTCCAAGTTCAACGGTTAGTTTATATAGAAAAAATAAAAGTTGAATTTTATCTTTATTAATTATTTAATTAAATTATACCTATGAGCGGGTGGATGAATTGACAAGAAATTCTTCCAACTTAATAAGAGGTCTTGGTTTCAAACTCTGATCATGTAGTTCCGTTAAAACTCGTGAGGGAGAGTTTTGTCGCCCGTTAGGTCCTATTCAACTCGAATCCAAATTAGTCGGTGATCCAGTAAACCTTCGGATATTGGATGATTTATACAAAAAAAAAAAAAATTATTTAATTAAATTATTTTACATAACATTGTGTTGAAAATAAAGTTTATTTTTGTAATTTTTATGTAAATTAATGATAAGAATATACACCATAAAAACACTTATTAAAAAAATCCATATTAAATTGCAAATTCAAATTTAAGCCCACTTTGGCAAGTGCTAAAGAAATTTTAGTCTAAAATTATTGTCTAGTTTTGAGTTTTAAATATAGCTAATTAAATCTTAATTTTTCCTTTATAAGAATAACAGAAAATTTGTTTTCTAATCTGAATTTTACCCAATTCCAAAACAGGAAATTCTTGAAATATATATAAATTGGTGTAGGTTTTTTAGTAGGCGTATATGACCGGTAGTTGAGAAGTAGTTAAGAAGAGCTGAAGAACAACAAAAGCCGGGGGGAAGAGACACACCAAATAGATTGAGCACGTGGTGGCGTCGGGACCCAAAGGATTAGGAGGACTAATAAATTTCTGATTCTTCTTGATTATTTCTTGCTATCCATTCCAGGGTTTATGGGAAGAAGGAGCTCGGAGAATCGCGGTGTCCGGTCTACCTCCGATGGGCTGTTTGCCGGTGGTCATCACACTCTACGCCAATGACGCCATCTTAAACCGCGGATGCGTCGGCCAATATTCACATGTTGCAATGGAGTACAATAAAAAGCTCCAAAACGAATTAAATTTGATGCATCATAATCTAGCAAATCAAGGTGCAAAGATCGTTTACTTCGACATATTTAATCCCTTGGTTTACCTGATCCAAGGGCCAGGAAAATTCGGTAAGTCTAATTACATTAATCAAACCATGCATATGTTTTTGGATTAAATTAAATTAATTGTGTTTCTTTTCTTTTTTTTCTTTACCCTTTTACAAAGAATTTGATGATGTTAGTCATGGCTGCTGCGGGACTGGTTTGCTGGAGGCTGGATTCTTGTGCAACCCGAAATCATATGTTTGCTCCGATGCGTCTAAGTATGTATTCTTCGATTCGATACATCCAACAGAGAAGACATATTTCAGGGTATTTGAGGCGGGTCGTGGTGTCATTGATCTCCTTATTAAGGACTAGGGATATTTAATCATTCAGATATCATGCGAAAAAATAAATTCTGAACAGACAAATATATATATATATATATGTGCAATATGGCTTGATGGCACTGAAATTTTTTTTTTAATGGAATGTTGATTCCTAGTTAGAAAACCTTGGATACTATTAAACATGTGGAGGAAATAGGAAAATGATAAAGTTATGTAAGTTTACTATTATAATGTATTATTATATAATTATTTTTTTATTTA